GGACTGGAAAGAGAAGAAACTAAAGAAAAAAAACCGAGAGAGAGAGAGAGAGAGAGAGAGAGAGAGAGAAACACCGCACAATAAGGAAAAGAGTATGAAAGACTAAATAAAGCAATGTTGAAATGCCAACCCAGGGGAAAAAAAGGTGTGTATAGGGGATCTCATGAAAATAGAAGACAGACCAGGAGAGTAGAGGAAGGGTCCAGAAAAACAGAGGAGGGAAGGAAGAGGGAAGATACTGAGACTTGATACTGACTGAGTTATATCATCCCATTGTGTGCACATATGAATATGTAACAGTGACTTCTGTTGTTATGTATAATTATAACGCACCCATAAAAATATGAAGAAGAAAAAACAAAGTAGCAATCTGGAAAAAAATGGTGTTATAAATAAGAAGAGAACAAGTGATCAGGGACTGTGACTAAGTGGACAAAAATAAGACTGAAAACCTGAACTTTCAGCAAGATTTCTGAATGTGAGATTCATGAAGATGAGTTGTATGTAGCTTTAGCAAAGGTGAAAAGTTAGGGTTGTTTAATGCCGATAAAGCCATGGTTTACACAATAAAGTACACTAGCTTAACCCCATGAAATTTTAATAAGTCCATTGAGGAATTGAGAGTAGGCAGGAAAGAATAAGTTACCCAGGGAGAGTTAAGACACAGAGGGTTACAGAAATCAAGAGAGCAAAGGATCCAAGCAACATCTTCACACTTCCCTAACTTAATAAATAGCACCACCACTCAGTAACCCAGACCCTAGCATTGGAATCATGCTGAATCTCTCTCCTCCTTTCTCAGCCTGCACTCAACCCACAGCCTGTCTTGTCAATCAGCCTTCACACGTGGAACCTGTCCTCCTGCCTCTGCAGCTACCACCCTGGCCAACTCACCACATCTCTTTCCAGGGACACAATGGCAGCCCTAAAAGTGATCTATTTTGTCCTCCACGAACTTAAAAAGCTGAGTAGTCCATCTGAAGGACAAGTTTTATTATGCCATTCTCCTGCTCTCAATCCCCCAAAGGCTTCTCATTCTTAGAAAAGAATTTGGTTTCCTTGCTGTAGCTCCCAAAGCCCTAGAAGACTGGCCAGATGACTTTACCCCAATGTCTTTGGTGGCCTCACCTCCACCGCTCATCCTTTCTCCAGTCCTCTGGAGCCAAAGGGACTACACCTTGGCTTCCAGCACCCCAAGAGATACCAAATAAATTCAAAGCCCAAAATGTCCTATCACGTTAAGTAACTTAAATTCTATGAATACTGGTAAGGAGAGCAATGTGAACCTAAGTCTTTTCCTTTGTTACTACCTGGTCTCCACTACACACACCATCCCCACCATACTACCAATACCACCCATGTCTTCATGACTTGCTTTTTTACCTTTTATTCTGTGTGTTATCAGTTACTGATCTACATATTGGGAATCCAGCAGGGTAAAGAAAAACAGACAATCCTCCCTATATTCAGGGAGTGTCCATTCTAGTGGGAGGATCAGACAAGAGACAAGATGATTAAGTAAAGCATTTTGCATGACAGATAATTGTAAATGCTAGTCCAGAGGACAGGAGGTATCGGTGCTAGATATGGTGAGTGTTGTAATTTTTGGCAATTTTGGCACAGTGATAAGTTTTGGCACAGGATGCACCAAGGAGGTGCCAGAGGAAAGACTAGAAAAAGCTGAGGGATCAACAAGTCTGTAGTACACAGAGCCTGAGAGCTGGATAGGCGTGTGGCTGACTGCTTGGTGAGAGAGTGGGGCATGGGGTGAAAACAGCACCACTGGCAGGAACCTTTGTTTTTCTCTCTCTCACCTGTATTATTTTTCTTCAGTGAGTTTGCATCACCTGATATTATATTGCATATTTATCTTTTTATTTGTTTAATGTCTTTCTTCCTTATTAGAAAAATAAGTTCCACAAAGGCAGGACTTTGAATTCTTCACCATGACAGTGTCTGACCCATGCTGGGAATTTTATTAATAGATTAATGAGTGAAGGGGAAGGGTCTGGGAAATAATGTTAACCATGGAAGAGTGAAAGCAGAAAGGATTGTTGGATCTGGTGGGAAGACATGTCCTGGTCTGGTGAATAGGGACTGAGGTGGAGAGAGAAGGGCAAGGCAATAGAAGGAAAGAGACAGATAAAGTGACATCCAGTTCTTGAGTTTCCTTTAACAGCAGTTAATGAGATAGGTATTACACAGTTTTCTGAGGTATGTTATTGTTTCGTCTTCTTCATGATTTATTTATCTTCTTAAATAGATATTTTACAAAATGGAAAATGTGGCATTACCCTTATCCTTTGAGTTCCTTGGAGAACTGACAAGTCCCACCCTGCTTGTTGTTAAATTAATTGTAACTAAAGTGTCTTAAATCTCATGTTAAGACTTAACTGTAATCTCATTTACTGTGTGGGAGGTGTTATCTGTTGCATGATTTAGGTAAAAATCTTAGGAAAGAGATATTCCCAAACTGCAGAGTGTGAACCACAGGTAAGCCTGAGCAAATGAAGAATATTTCTCTAACAAAATGAATTCATGTACATGAAAGAGCTCTGTAGGTAAGATAAAAACATATAAATGAAGGCTTTTCAAAGATGGCCACATGCCTTGTCTCACCTTGAAAGCATTCATATCCTCAACACTACAACTACATGGTACTAAAAGCAGCATCTTATGAAATCAGATATTTATAGTGTTATTAAGATGCCTTAGGCAGTGAATTTATCAAAAAAAATGTTTTAAACATTTCTATGCTTTCAAGTTAAAGAATAAAGAACAGACAGAAAGGCAAAATAAATCTCTCCTTCAATAGAAATGGTCAACTTTGTATTCGTACCATCTTTGGAGTGAGGGCAGATACCATCCTCAATGGAAACAGTCCTAGCAAGGCAGAGTTCAAAGGAGAGGAGTCAACAATAGAATGTAAAAATAATTAATTTCATGAAGCTGTGTTAGTAACACTACCAACAGTTGTTCTCTGGTGAAAATAGTAATTAAAAAAGAGTCTTGGATACTTGCATCTTGTTCAAGTTCATCAAGTTCATAAGAAAAAGTCACTAAAGAAAAGTAACACATTGTGAATAAGATCATCATGGGTTATCTCATAAGCTTTTTTTTTTTTTTTGGTGTGTTTGTGTGTGTGTTAACTGTTTTGGAAAATAGTATATACTACTTTAAACTGATCAAAAAATATTTAGTCCAAATTTAGAAACACTTATATCACGTAGATTTCAGCACATTAGAAGAAAACTTTAAATTTTATGTTACATCAGAAATAAGTAAGGCACACATTTTAAAGTCATTTTCAAGATTTTTGCAAAGTCAACCTTTAAAAATATGCATTTTGATTATTTCCTGGATCATGCACTTATTTGCATTGTAAGTATAAACATATTTTGAATTGGACAACAGTAGCATAAGAGCAGTTTTATTTATTTTCCACTGCCTGGGAGGCTTTTTTTTTTCTGTTTGGGTGAAATAGAAAATGGCAATGTTGGAAAGCTACATAGTAACTTCGTTGCTAGGCTACATGTGTGCCCATTTAACCTTCCTGACAGAGAAGTTTCCAGAGTGCTATGTACAAATATGTCATTGTTTCCTGGGGCAGGAAGAGGAGGTAGGTTGACATCTTCTCCATATCATGTTTATTTAGTAGGCTAGAGGGGCTTTAAAGGCAAAGGATACATATTCAATGAATAAACTTAAAAAAAAAATACCTGACAACTCCGCACTTTACACCAGGTAACAGAGGTGAGGGACACAATTTTGTCTCATTGTGTATTCAGGAGTCTTAGATTAAAGAGCAGACAGGTGGTTTTTTCTTTCTCTGTTCTTTAAAAACTGCCTGCTTTTTTACCTTCTTACAGATTTACAAAATACATAAAGGGAGCATTCTGGGTCTTTTCCCCTGAAGGTCATATAAATTTTTCTCTATCTTTTTTATCTATTTGTCTATTTGTCTCTTTCCCCCATCTCTGTCTCTCTGTCTCATCTGAAGAACTTTAGTACTCTATGTTTGTTTTATGTGAGCCTTGTAAAATGCTTCTTTGAGCATTCCCAAAGTGACGCAGATGTGACTTATGAGTGGCACGCCCTACGTTCCACCTGTGCCCCTCCCACCCTCACCCTTTCTCCACCCGGACTCCCCACATCACACATGCACATCCCCTCACTCCAGGTGCCACTAGCCCTTCTGGATCCTGCATGCAACACATTAAGACTTTCAGGTAGCTTCCCAGAAATTCTACCAGAAGATGAGAGAAAGCACATTCCCCAACATTCCAGGTGAGCTCTTCATCATGCTTTGGTGTCCCCACCTCCTCAAAGTTTTCCTTGCATTGGTGTTGAGTTCCAGCACTATGTCTCCTTTGGAGCAGCTGGGGTTATGATGAGGCTTGAAATGACAGAGGCTTGATGGTTGTTCCTGGTAAATCAAATACTTGATTTATTTGTTGGAGACATAATTACATTCATATAAAATAACAGTTTGTAAATTAGCTATGCAAGAATCAGTAGAAACATGAAAATCCTATTAAAGAAATGGTAACAGTATCCCAGCAGCTCAGGATGCTGAGGCAGAAAGATCACAAGTTCAAAGTCAGCCAAAGCAACAGTGAGGCGCTAAGCAACTCTGTGAGACCTTGTCTCTAAATAAAATACAAAATAGGGCTGGAGATGTGGCTCAGTGGTCGAGTGCTCCCTGAGTTCAATCCCCTGTAGCAAGAAAAAAAGAAAGAAAGAAAAAAAAGGAAAAGAAAGAGAGAAATGGTAACATGGTAACAGTAAACATGAGGTTGGTAATGTGGTCTTCCTGTGGCACAATAGTATTGTTTTCTAGCACATGTATTGTTCTCTCCTCTAAAACCTGTAATAGCTTTACTGTGGTAGCAGTATGATCTCTTTTCTCTGACATGGGCACTGCTCTTCAAGGTATTTTCTTAACCCTGTCGTATGTCCTTGTTTTGGGTACAATTTTAAATAACGAGGTTATCTTTCAGGTTTTAGATAAAAGCAGCCCTGATGTTTCATTGAAACAAGAACAAAAGGAAGTTCCACTCATAAACGAAGGTAAAAATAAATCATTTTACAGAGATTAGCTCTAATATTTGAACCACTTTCCATAGGGCTTATGAAACAGCCTGAGATATAATCAGAAGTTTGCCAGAAATTTGGATTTTAAAAAATTAAATTTGTTGTTCCATCCAGAACTAGAAGGAGGGGTGGAGAAAGAATCAAGGGCTAATCTCCCTCGTCTGGGTTGGAACTGGGTTGAGAACCAGGTCTCCCAAACTGCCACACTGCCTGAAATATCCATAGACTTGTGCCACTCTCCACATTGAATTTTATTTAGAATTTTGTCAAGGATTGATGATCAGGTCTATCATTTTTAGAATCTGTTTTGAAAATTGTAATGAAATTCATTATTTTAATTGTTTAGTTCCTTTCCTGCTTTCCAGGATTCCTCTGAAATCCATAAGAGTATTTAAACATATGTATTTATGAGTTCTTTCATCTGTGGGATATATATGTATATGTATATTTAAAGCATAAACTTGCCCTTGTGATATTTAAGTCAAATTTAATCTCCTCAATTTAAAAATTATTGAAACAAATTGAATTTGGAATATTTTCATTTCTCAGTGTTCATTCGTCATCATTATTATAATTCTTGCATTAGGCATTATATTATTATTATCTAATTCTCTTTTTATTTTAATGTCATCTCATTGGGCCCGGGCAACACATACATTATTTTCATCATTCTTATCTTTATTCTGAAATAAGCTTGAAATCACTTCTTAGTCTTTTTAGTGAATCCCTGCTCGGTTGGCTTCATCTTTCCAGCCCTTTTTTGTGCCAATCCATGCCATCATTTTGTGTTCACTTTGGTGGTCAACTCTTCCTTCCTGCACATTCTGTTGCTTAGGTAACCTAATCAGCTATTCATTCACAACTTTATGTTTTCAAGCCCTTTACTGATGTCCCTAAGAAATCAAAATTTTTCTTTTTCATCTTAATTAGGATAATTTGTAATTCCTCAATCAGGATTTCTTTTGTAAGGCTCTCTTAATTCTAAAGCTGATCTTTTGTAGATGTTTCAAACTATTACTGTGCCTTCAAGCATTTCCAGATTGTAATGGAAAAATTGTTACTATAACTTTAATCCTGAAATTAATATTTAATTTTAAATATCCATCCTGGGTTTGGCAGGAACAAATTGTAAAATATTTTTTAAATGACTGTAATTATAGATTAATTGACTGTTGAGTTAAATTTTTTGACTTTGTATGCAAGTCAGAAAGTACAGCCAATGGTGCTTACCCTGTGCTTGGAAAACCTCTGGCCACCTGTTTTCTTTTACGTTTTCCTTGAAGAACTTGGCAGATCCTCCGCATTCTCCCACCATGTAAAACTTTCCTTCTTTGTGTCCTGTTCTCCTTGACCTTCAATATCCCTAAACTTATTGACAGAGGTCTGCTTAATAGAACAAGATATCTGGGTATTTTTTAACAAAGAATTATAGAGAAGAACAGAAGGAGAACAGATTGACTCGTTGCTTACACTGTCTCCAAGACTCCTAGCCAATCCAAAGGAAGCTTATATTTCTACTTACAAAGGACTAGGAACAGATCATCAGCCTGAGGTCCCTTGAGTGAAAAGACTGACATGTGACTCTAGGTCTCTTTCTGCTTTCAAGTTTAGCTCTCTATTGGTGACACATTTTTCATGGGGATCTGTCAGAATAGCTTTGAACTGGAACTCAAAATGAGAGAGAATAAGATAGTAGAGGGCAGACAAGTGTGTATTTTGGCAGAAGTTGGGGAGAGCAGGGACTATCAACAGTCCTGATCAGTCACCCATACACTCATAGTAAACACCATAAAAATATGTATATAAGCAACCCACATAACAGAGACTCTTGAATTATTATTATATATGCAATAGTATTATATATGTATTACATACCTTATTAAAATTATTATAAAATACCTAAAGAACATATTTATAGATTGCCTCAAAATTGGTGCAATTTACAGGTGGATATTTGAATCAGAACTAAATCATATAGTTAATGTAACAGTCAACATTCCTTTGGTTCCGTTTTTTGTGTGATTATCAAAATCGTCTTCATTTTGTCTCTGTCCTTATGAAGAAAAACAGGAGCTGTGCAGTGATACTCCAGCCATAAAAAGAAACTCTTCATTTCCTAACCAGGAAAGGTGAGTGTACTACAATTATAGAAATTCCAAGTAAGTGCAATTATACTGTTGAAAAGTAATTATCAATGTTTCAATACAAGATGAAAGAAAATAGTAGCAACAAAGGCAATTAAGAATAGGACCAAATTTTACAACAGAGACAAGAAAGAATGAAAATCCACCTTTCCCCCAAACCTTCTCATTTCTTTTGTGAGAATTTGGGAATAATAAAATGGAGCAGGATTAGCTTTCTACCCACTGCAAGTAAACAGTTCTGGTTACTATGACGTAGTCAAAGCACTAAAATGTCAACACATATGAGGTATGACTGTGAAACCACAAACTGACTTTTTTTCACGTGTGGGTCATTGACTTACTGCCTGATATGCCTATAATTATTATTATAATTGCATTCTAGACTTTCCTTGACATGAGAATTTTATCACTCATAAAATCAACTGGATATTTTAGATACCCGGTAGAATTAAAAGAATCCTTTCAAAAAAGAAGATTCTTAACTTCTACTACAGATTTATTTAAGTGAGTTTTCAGGTGTTCAGATTCAGTTTCTCTGAATTCAGATGCTGTGCCCCTTACATAACAGCACATTAAATGAAGGGCAAGAAAAGACAGAGGACCTTTCATTTCCCTGTACTTGGTAACAGTAGTTACTCCAACACTAAAATCCAACTCTACTGTTCTATTCAGAAACCTTCAGTTATAGTCAGCTTTTTCACTGCTATGACTAAAGGATCTAACTAGAACAATTTTAAAGGAGAAAAAGTTTATTTGAGGGCTCACAGTTTCAGAGGTCTTACTCCATAGAAGGCTGGCTCCATTCCTCGGGGCTTCAGGTGAGGCAGAACCTCATGATGGAAGAGTGTGGCAGAGGGAAGCAGATCACATGTTGATCAGAAAACAAAGATAGTCCACTGGCCAAATACACATATATTATACCCAAAGCCATGCCCCAATTTCCACCTCCTCTAGCCACACTCTACCACTTTAGTTACCACTCAGTTTATCCCTGTCAGGGGATTAAATCACTAATTGGGTTAAGACTCTTACAACCCAATCATTTCTCCTATGAACCTTCTTGCATTGTCCTCACATGTGAGCTTTTGGGCAACACCTCCCATCCAAACCAGAGCACCTTCCATAGCCTCTGTAGCCCTATCGATTTTAAGGTCAAGTACAGACCTCACTCCTGCCCCTCCTTCTAATCAACACCTTGCTTTCCAGAAGTTCCAAATTACTTATAGTTTATTTTATCACATTATATCATCTGTTTGTCTACACTACTTCCCTTGCTTGCGTGTCCTCTGCAACTGGTGTACCCATCTCCCTTATCCTTTCATTCAAGCCTCAGTTCAAGCCTTTTCTGACTCTCCCAGGAAAACCCAGGAGTTCACAGAGTCACTGCTGCACTGATTAGGTTGCGTCATCATTCCATCAATTTCAATAATTATTTGTTAAACACTAGCTAAGTTTTGACCCACAAGGGTAAGTCAAATAGAATTGTGTGGTCAAATATCCATCTTTGCAGTGCACAGATGCTCCTTAAAGACATATCTTGCCTTCTTTGTAACCCTGAATCTGAGAGGCCTTCCCTGAGAAAAGAAACCTGCCCATGGTGGCAAGTCATATTCCCACGATGAAGTCATTCTGTGCTGGGTTTTTCAAAGCACTGATTACTGTTTTAAATTATCTGTTTTACTCATCCATTTATTTTACCACTTTAATTCTAGCTTGATTGTTTTCCACTAGTCACTCATTCACTCCAACGGAACAGAGTCAGTCTTGTATCCAAAATGGCACCTGACTCATAATCAGCAGTATCTGTTGATTGAATGAATGAATGCATTCCCTCCTTCAGAGTGTTGCTAGGCTTTTTCATGGACAATGTTTTAATCTAGAATTATTTATTAAAATTTGAGCTATAATTTAAGATTCATGCAGACACTAAAACATAATTGTGCACGTATTGTTTTCTATCACTTTTAGATATTTATTAAGTTGTGGAGGTTTTTTAAATCATTGTTGACTCAAATACAATATGAATGTCAGAACTACAACCCAACTAAAGCAATCTTAATGGAAGAAATTTATGAAATGTATTACTAATGATAGTGATGATAAGGATGATCATAATAATTATTGGATTCTATTTGACAAGTACTTACTACCAAGCATTGAGATAAAGTCTTTGTATATCCATTTAATCCTCAACACAACTCTGCAAGGTAGGCCCTAGAATTTTTTGACAGAAAAAGGTTGAGAAAGATATACCCTATGATCTGGTGTAGCTTATTTTGCCTTCTGTTCCCAACACCAACATGAATTTCCAGCATCCCTGAAATATTTTTTAAAGGAATATTTCTCTTACTAAATTCTGGTCATTCTCTCTTGTAGAGAGCATGTTGCATTCTTTTTTTGTGTAAAATTCTCTGGGTGCATTTGAATAGTATTCCCCTTCCTCCTTTTACTTGGCTTCTCACACTTTCTGGAGGTAAAACTGACAAAACTGTGAGAATAATGATTACCAGGCATTTTTAGAGTGTCAGAGCTGAAACTGGGAGTCACACTCAAATTTTAATAAATTTCTTGTATAATTCCATGACATTTATCAAATGGATTTATATAACTAATTGTTAACCAATTGTCCTGTTTATAAGAAGAGATTTAATTTGATTAAATATTAAAGAAAAAAGTGTCAATAGACAACTTGAAAAAAATATATATTTAGTGACTTACTTAGTAAAAAGCCAAAACAATGTTTTACCTTGAAAAAAAAAATAAATAAAATTTTAGCATAAAAGAAGTTATAATTAATGAACATTTAGACATTGTGTAAATATTCTTTAATAGACAGGCATTCATTTATACAGTATTCTTAATATTTAAAAAAAAGTCAACTGAAGTTAGACAGTATAATTAAAGCCAAAGAACTGTTCACAATAGAAGTACATTCCATTTGATATAAACTATTGTCCAATTCTAAAAGACCCTCTCCATATAAACACATAAACCTCTCAGGAACTGTGTCTGTGTGATAGAATTACAGAAATCTTCTTATTACTTGATACATAAGGCTCTGCATAATCTGACCTCTACCCATCTTCACTTTGCGTATTTTACTACCCTTGGCCTTTTGAATTTTTCTGTTCCCACCATTCCAAATCTTTGGTGTCCATAACATGCTACACTTTTTTGTGCTTCCTTACTGTGATGTAATTTCCATTTTACATCCAGGGGTCCTTTTAAAATTTGTTTCTCATCATCCTGCCTCCATGCCTAAAACCTTCCTAAGCTAGTGCCTTCTGCGTGGAAGGAACACAATTCCCTCTCTGAGGCCACCAACTCTCTCTCACCTCAGCCTTCTCCCTCTGCTTCCTGCTTCCTCCATCCACCAGCTTCGACCTTCTCATTCTTCCTTGAACAGCTCTCTACCCCAGGATCATTACACTTTACCTGGAGCACTCTTCCTCTGGATCTTTGCTAGTTATTTCTCTTAACTGTCTTTATTCTTTTTGCTTTTATGTCAGTGCATTTCTCTGGGTTTAAAACAGAACTTAAGTCTCTTCCTGCAGAGAAGAAACAAGTGTTAAATGACTAGTGTCATTAAGAATAAATTATCACCAATGCTATTTAGTTGTGGCCACCCCAAGACTTGACACAATATATGATCAGAATAAATAGTGATGTCTAATTAAGAACTTATTTTATATAACGTCTACATATGTGGAAATTTATGCCCTTTTATTTGTTGTGTATTAAGATTCCATTTGTTTCTGAAATTATTAGTATCTAATGTGGTTCCTACTTTGGAATTATGCACCTCAGCTCTTCCTGTGTGACAATGGAAGATTTAAATCCAATTTCTGGACACGAAGCCAAAGTTTCTGTGAGTGATGGTTGTAAAGTTGCATCTTCACTGGTGACATCTTCTCAAAGCACAATTGTCAAGGAAACGGCAAGAAAACTGATGTCAAATTTAAGGTAAATTCAGTTACCATGTTTTCCCACATGCTTTGTTGAACTTTCTAAACGGTGACAACTGTGTTTTATTTTTCCTGAGTGGTCATATAATGGAGTAAATTCCATGGAGTGACTTTGTGACCTGTCTTCTAACCATACTGAATTAGATATACTACAGGTTGAAATAGAACTACAATCACTAACTGCCTACCATCATATGGCCCCTCAGTATGGTGGACATTGGTCCTCATTTGAATGCAATAAAGAATTTGTACTGAAATTGCTTATAACTTTTTTACTCCCACACAAAACCTCTCAGGATACTTTTAGGCCTTTTAAAATATCTATTTTTATATTAACTTACTGAAGGAAACTGAGCTTTGCCTCGTTGTTTGGTGCAGAATGTTGGCACGTGTTGTCATGGTTAGTGAAGAGGTTAGATATTTGGAGCTCTGTTCTCAACAGATGGAGATATGGAGGAGTAAAACCCAGGATTCAGGGGCTCTCCAAATAGGGACTGATGATGGAAGGGGGCTTTATGACCAAGCACCAGACATCTGTGTACAAGAGGGATCTAAATAGGTGTCATGTAGTGGAAGGAGTGTGGGAGCAGGAGTAGCACTGAATTAGCACACCTCCTGGTTTCCTAGGGTTTAGTCTGGGAGGGGCCTCTGTGGGGAGAGGCTCTGGACTAGGAGAGCATGCAGCATGCTCTAGCTCAAGTAGTGATTTTCTTATCAGTGACTGACAGAATCCTCCTGAAGGGGAGAGGAAGGAAGAAAAGGTGGAGGAAGGGCCTGTCTGGAAGTGCTACAGCCTCTCCTAGTGCTCTGGCTTTGGTCATATTTGTGAAAGTAGACCACTGAGCACAGTGGGCACAAACTCACTTCTGCAGCTGCCCAGGGCTTTATGGAAGTCTCTGTGGCAGTATTCAGGGCTTCAGGGATACAGGGCTCAATTTAAATGGTATGTATTTACCCCAGCATCCATGCCTAATACCCATCCTGCCCCAGGAGATAGAAAGCACTCTGGCTACAGGTAACAAGATGAGGTGTTAACTGAGCAATGAAGCCAGTGTCCTCATCACTAGGTTCTGACCACCTAGGTTGCCTGGGCTACCCAACTTACACAACCCTGGAAGGGAGACAGGAGGAGGACAGGCCTTAGCACTGGACAGGTGTCATGAGCTTGTAAAGGCCACTTGTCCAATGATCTGGAATGATATCAGTATTGTACTGCTATGTGCCTCCACAGAATCCTTGAAGAGTTGAAATCTTCAACTAGCTTCTTACCCTGTGTCAGGATTTTTTCCAAAATTAGTATATAAGAACCTAAGTTTTCTGTTGGGTAGTCTTAAATTTAAATACTGGTTGATTATTAACTATTTCTTAGATTTGGGCAAATCCATTGGTCACTAAAGTGTGGTAGTATGCAATAAATTGTGTGTGTGTGTGTGTGTGTGTGTGTGTGTG